TTTTTTATTTCTCGCATCACAGCTTTTGTCTACTTACTGAATAATTTACTGAAAAAAGTACTGATCTATACATTTCAAATCTAAATTTTCACCGTGCAACGCCGGGTAACTCAGCTAGTATAAATATATATATATGTATATATATATAGAGAGAGAGAGAATTATGAGCATATTAAGTAGTTCATCGCCTAAACTCTCTGAAAGTTTGTACATTACATAATTTTTACAACATTGTCAGATAATAAATCTCATATTATTGTGAAACTGTAAGCAAATACGTTTAGATAAAATATATTTATTAGCTATTTTACGTCATTCTATACCTAAACGAATTCTTTACTTGAATTTAGAGATTAAATTCAATGTTTCTTTCTTTTAACAGCAGATTTCATTATGATGTCCATTTTGGAGATATAATATTTCTCACTCCTGACGGACTGTATTTAGTAACCTGTTCTTAATATTTTTTATTTCATTTTTTTCAGTCCCATTAGGAGAAACTACATTTTCACTGTAGTCTGGAGACAGTTAATGGTATTTTTCAGATGTGTGATGTTGTAGATTTGAGTCCCATACTTTTTACTTTTTTTAAGTTACAGTTTTTCTCACATATGAGGCTTAAGAATAGTCGTTAAATATGAGTGGTTTCACTTCTCGGATACCTCTCCTTTTCACCTTTTCCTCACCGCACTTTATACCCGAACCTTTAACTGTTTATTCTGTTTTGAATACATATGTACTTATATTTATAAAAGGACACATTCAAAATGGGTTTGGATGGTATTTATAAAAGGACACATTCAAAATGGGTTTGGATGGTATTTGTTAATGGCCAAGGCTACATTTCATCTATGGTATTACTTTGAATGCCTCTCTTATAGAGGTCATTTTTGTTTAGCATACTCTGAGTCAGGAGAATTAATATAGAAGTCCTGAACTAAAACAAGGAACTAACAGTCAGAGTGCCAGGACGTAGTTTAGTTGCCAAAAACATGCAGTCGTTCTTTTATTGCATGGTTGAAGGACGTGTGGTCGGTCGTCTCTGGATTCACCGCTCTAGTTGAGTTTTGTTGTTAAGCCTAGAGAGCCTGGTCCCGCGGAGAGTTGTTGTTGTTACATGCAGACAGAGAAAAGTAAAAATATTTCAGTTAAGAAGAATATTGGGAGAGTCCTCTGAAAGTAAGATTTTTTTTTATAGTGAAATGCAAAGTTTCTTATCTTTATATAGCAATGAAAAAACTTCAAAATCATATGGTATTTCTTTTCTCTATTTAACCTTAAAAGTTAAATATTACAAATGTAAAAATAGATAACATATTCCTGTGTTGGTTATGATGTTGTGTATTACTTGAAAGGACATGATATCGTTTTCAATTTATTAGTGTAGTAACATTTTGCGATTTTATATTTAAAGTATTTGTTTTGAATGAGCACCAACATGCACAGAAAGGCTGACTAGTTTCTACAATAAACCTAAAATTTTACGTAAATTACATTAAACGATTATTTATTGTTAACCCATTTAATTCACAATAGTTTCAGCATATGGTGAATGGTCGAATCACTGTGACATACTTGGGGTGGTAAAGTTACGTTTTGTTGCTTTGTTACTTGATTCCCGATAGAAAAGTTTTCATCTTATTCCACATAATGCATAACGGTCATTTTGCAACTTAATAAATCGTAAAACGTACAAATTATTTACAGTAGCTACTGTTATTATTTTAAAAAATAATTTAGAATATAAAATCTCGTTCATATCATGGCCGAATGTAGTCCAGTGGTCAGCGTGCTGGATTTTGGATCGGAGAGTCTAAGGTTCGAGACATGATATCATTGAACACGTTCCTCATTTTCAACTATGGGCATTTAATTGAGAGGCAATCCTATTATTTGAATCAAGGAATCAAAGCTCTTGTTGCAACGAGTTTGCTGGCAGAGTATTCTTGCCTCTGGTCAGTAGCTTAAAATTACAGGCAGCTCTACCTTGGTATCCCAGCCGGCCTGGTGAGCCCTGGTATTCGATGAAAGGACTTTGGCGTGGTTGCCATATTGTTATACATTCTTCTTTACTTTCACTCATTATTTCATAGCATTAAACCTAGGAATATATTACCTGACCGTTTATCCAGTGTTTGTAAAAAATTCCGTTGAAGTTGTAAATTCCAGGTGCAATACATGCACAGAAATTTAAAATCCATATCGATACATAAAAACATCATGAAAGTACTATAAACTACACAAAAGTACCAAGTTAGGTTTAACATCTCATCAAACTTTCAATTCTTATAAAAATTGTCTATGATTACTTTTATGTTTTTAATTGAACGTATTTTCATCATTATTATGAAGTAACAGCTGAAATAATTTCTATAAATTTCGCGATATATGAAGGTTAATAGATAACTAAAAAAGTGTCTTTCACGGAGTAAGTTCGGTATTTTGCAGTTAAGCCCTGCTTTAGTAGATAGTTCGCTAATCCGTATTCGTACTATCGTTAAAATCAAAGTAATGAAAAGTATTTTTGTGTGATAAAAGTATGTAATCACTTATAGTTTGTGACAAAGCCTGAGATTTGCCATATGAAATTCTGACTGATCCAATAAAGTTTCACACAAATACTGTATAACTTACATTTCTAATTTCCACATACAAAACAACGCTAATATCATCAGTGTTGTTTTTCAAAAAATGCTTCAATTTTGCCTAAAAGCTTTCGCTGAAGGAGGATCTAAGAAAGTTTATATATATGTAGAGAGAGAGAGAGAGTGTGTGTGTGTTTAAATTCCACATTTTCACATTTAAAAATTAAAATAATTAAAGGTTTGATACTATAGGCTGTCATTATTTTTATATTGTTTGTTTTAAGCGCAAAATAACATAATGGGTTGTCTTTGCGGTGTCAGTCGCAGGGATTGAACCTAGATTTTAGCGTCATAAGTCTTCTTGCTTACCGCTGAACCTCCAGGTGACTAGTTTTTATGTGTGTGCCTCTTTTTTGTAACAATAATATTAAGCAAGTGACGGTTCTGTGGTACTTGAAAAGCAGTTCGAATTTATTGACTTTTTAATTGTCTTTTAGGTTCAGAGAACCTATCTACTATTATGAGATAAAGGTCCTTTGTCGACTAATTTTTCAACTGTATTATTTTAGGATTAATTGATGATTGGAAAGTTTGTTGAGAAATATAACCTTGATAATTTGTTGAATAAGTATAAACTTTAATAACTTTATTCTAATGCCTTCCGAAATTCAATAGAACAACACACTGAAGTCTGTCTCTTTTATTATAAAAAAAACAATTCCAACTAATTTAAAATGAAATTTATACTTGGGAGAAATAAAAAAGTCTGCTCGTTCACTTGAACAGTAGCTCCAATGCTGTAATTTCTAACTGCTCTGACTTCATGTTAGTCAATGGAAATTATTAACAAAGCTTTCAAAAGTTATATAATTAGAAATGAAACATAACGAATACTTTAATGTCACAAAACGACACAAAATATTTTAAGCCTGTTGAAGAAACAACTCACAAATTAACAGTGAAGTATGGCTGCAAAACTTAAGTTATTTTCATTTAAAATGTATATATATACAAACATAAAATCAATGAATAAAGATACCCTTAAGGATCTCGGTAGCTATAAAAAACATCAGGCTATAGCTGCTCTCAAATCGACATTTCACGAATGTTTCCTTTCTAGCAATTCTTTCTATTATTTAACTAGTATATACTTAACAATACGTGACTTTAATGTTATGTTTTAAACGTCGCATCTTGATCCTTGTGTGTTGTATGCTACATATCAAAAACGTGTATAAGTTATTGATATTGTTTTTTATAATGTTCGAACTTGATAACTACATTTCTAACAACCCCTGATAGGACAGTGGTAAGTCTATGGACTTGCAACACTAAAATTCAAGGTTCGATTCAACACGGTGGACACAGCCGATAGTCCAATGTGGTCTTACTTTAAAAACAAACAAACGTTTACAATAATATTCTTAGAGCTTCTGTTAAAATCTCCTACTATGTGCATTTGTTTTCAGAAGATTCAAATGAATGTGTTTCGACTTTTGCAGTTTGCATGTTTTTATTGCTTTTAATAAAATTCACGAAACTTTGGACTTCCCAGAGTTGATAGAAATATTTTCTGAAAGTAACAACAAAGTTGTTAATTTGTATAAGAAAATGATAATTTTAGGGAATGTGTGTGTGTAATTGAAAATATACTCTGTTTTAAGGAACTACACAGGCATAACCGTATAATAACATTACTTGTCGTACTCTCACACATGTAAAGAGATACTCTCGCCAGCAGTACGCACAGTGTTCGTAAATCATGATATCTGGTAATTTAATAATGCCTAAAATATATAATAAAGATAAGTATGTTGAATTTGATTTGCAGTCGTTTTATTTTTAATTATTCTATAGTGAAAGTTTAAATCTTTAACTTAGGACTATATGGAATCACCACGTTACATACGTTAAGAAGGACTATACTGCCTCAACTACAAGGCTTTTATATAGTTCGTTATAATCTAAATTTCATTTACTAAAAATTATACTTTTAATTATTGTTCTTATGAATTTGTGATAACGAATAAGAACTTCTATTTTAATAGTTTATTACATATTTATTTTCGAGATGAACAAAATAATTTGAATTTATTTATTAACTATATAAGATATAGAACAAAATACTACCGTTAGTTCTGTAGACATTTAGATAGAAAGTAAGTCCGCTTTTTTATGTTTGTAACTGTAGAAGAAGAAAAATTCCAATTTGTGTGACATCTAAATCTATGCCTTGGTAAATGATGTATTTTAAATACCCTTTAGATCAAATCTGAAATGATAAACGTGTCTTTATTTGAAAATTTTTATATTGTCATCGTGTTATTTTATAATCCTTTATTTTACAAAGATAAATTTGTTGTTAAATTTTAAAAAGGCATACGTCTTTAGACAAGGTTAGGAGAAATAAATAACACATATTTTAAGAATTTTAAAAACAATATTATCTTTTTACTTTCTTTTCGAAGGATATCATCTGGTATCATCATGCAAGAAGAAGAACTGACATCTCCCCTCCATCTAGCAGTAGAGAGAGGAGATTTAGATGAGGTGATAAGGCTGGTCCAAAATGGTTCTGAGATTGATGCAGAAGACAACAACGGTAAAACACCTTTATTTTATGCTGTAATGTCAGATGAGCTACAAATTGTAAAAACACTGTTGGAAATGGGTGCAAGTACGTCTTCCGTGGATGAAAGCCGGAAAAATCTCATGCACGTAGCAGTTGAGAAGGGGAATCTCGATATGATTGATATATTGTATCAACATAGTGCCGAGTACAGTGGTCGAGACAGAAGAGGATCCACTGTTTTACATGCAGCTGTAATAACTGGCAAACCGAAAGTGTTGGAAGCAATATTAAATAAAGCGGCCACCAACGGACATAGAGGATTCTTAAACTCGGGCAATAAGACTGGTCAAACTGCCCTACACGTTGCTGTGAATCTGGATCAGATCGAAACGATTCAGATGTTGTTAAAAAGTGGAAGTGATCCAAATAATACTGATTTCGGAGACATTACTCCATTACATGCAGCGTTTGACAAAGAAAACCATGTTAATTTCGATGTAATCAATATTTTACTCGACAGTGGAGCCGACGTAAATCTACGTGATCAACAGGGTATGACGCCTCTCCACGTAGCAGCCATCCATGGTCATAGCGATGGAGTTAGTTTACTTCTAAAGTCTGGAGCTGATCCAAGCATCAAAGACGATAATGGTTTGTATCTTTTCAATATGCAACTAAAACTTGGTATCAAAATGAACATGAATATTTTAAAAACTTGCATGGTTGAAAATTTGTATTCAAAATTGAAAACAAACTACCACATTAGTGCTATCTATTGATTACAATGAAAACCTAAATAAGTTTCCTTTTAGACAGTTTGATTAGCACATAAAACTGAATCTGCTGATGACCTTTCTTGTTGTGAAAGATCTGTTTGTTGTTAAAAAATATGCTCAATGAGCTATCTGTACTATTCTCATCGCAAGGATTGTTTGTTTCTTTGTTTAAGTTTTGTGCAAAGCTACACGTTAGCCGTCCCTAAAATATAAGTGATAGACTAGAGGGAAGGCAGCTAGTCAACACCTCCCACCGCCAGCTCTTGTATTACTCTTAACCAACAAATTATGGGATTTATCGTCACATTATAACGCTCCCACGGCTGAAAAGACTAGCATGTTCGGTGACAGATTTCGATCCCGCGACCCGTAGATGCTAATCAAGCGCTTTAATCTATGCCAGGCCACAGGAATGGAACCTCTAAACTGTAAAAACTTTTGCATAAAATGTTCGAAGTGTGTCATTATCTATGTTTGTTTTTTAAGCAATAGAATACATTCTAGTTTGTTTTAAAAGAAAGCTGCACAATGTCTACCATTGAGATCGAACTCTAAATTTAGTGTTGCGAGTCCTGAAACGTACCACTGAGCTACTAGAAGACATGCATTTTTTGTAAATCACCACCGTTCAAAAATTTAAGCGACGTGGTTGTTTACACATTAAGCGTAGACATCTTTGAAAGCAAATAATTTGTATTTCGTATTTATGATAAAGCTACTAAGGCTATTTGTTTCGACTCTGATTTCGAACCACTGACTAGAGAGAAGGCAGCTAGTCAGCAGTAACCTACCATCCATTATCAACGCTGAGTGATTGACTGTCTCTCTTTTAACACACCCACAGCTTAAAGCGAGGAAAGTACCATGTGGTATTGCGCAAATTCAAACCCAGCTCACTAGCTCCAAAATCCAATACACTACATATGGTCTAGACAGCAACGAACTTTGTATAAGTTAAGGGCGGATGTATATTTTTTTTTACATGCCTACTACATTGTCAACGAAATTTTAATTCTAATAACTATCAAAACGAATCAAAAACTTCTTTTTTATGATTGTTTACCACATTTGTCACACTAAGTAGCCAAGTTTAACATATAAAATAATAAGTCTTAGACATTGAGTAAAGTATAAAATTACTACTTTTAAGTTCATATTTCGTACTAGGAAAAAATACAAAACTTTAGATAAATTTCAGAGCCTTCCAAAACGTAATCATTAATCTATAGCTTTAGTCTTTATTAGCTTACGGAATTGTAACTGTAGTGAAGGCCTATCTAACATAAAGTTAACAAAAGCAAATAAATTTGTTTTGCTATTTGAAACTTATGTAATGTTAATTTGTGTAAGTCACAGAATTAGAATGCTTGCAAAACTGTCAACAATAACTGGATAACTTGAGGCGTAATCGCTGAAATGTCATGTAAGAGGCAACTTTTAAAGCTATTTTGTATCTTTTACTTAAATATATATAGTGGCAGTCCTTAAAATCAATTCTTTATTTTTAGGGACGGCTAGCCCATATGGCCCTTGTATAGCTTTACGCGAATTAATTCGTTATTAAAAGTACTTTAAATCTCCCATAATCCAAAGCCCCGCCTGTTCTCCCTCTGTTGGCCGTTAGATACATTAAAACTACAATCTATTAATGTAACGAGTATGCTCATACTGTAATATAAGAACTATTCAAGAAATATATCAGTCTTTAATGCCAAGTGAACATTAGATTTATGGGTGATTTAAGCTAAAATGCTAAACTCGAGAAAACACCCCGGTTTTACATGCTTCAGTTTTAGTCTATGGGATAACTGATGTAATATTAACGACTTTCTGAAACTTCAAGTATTGGGGTTAATCAGTTTTAAGAATCAAATTTGTAAAAGTAAAGGTATAAATGCATTTATTTTTAGAACCACCTCTTTGCAATTTCACAGCCATTTTTATAGATAAACAACTTTTACAGTGTCAGTTATATTTTTAGATACACAATAACAAATAATGTGTTTATTACATTATTTGTCTTATTCTCGAAACGAGTAAATTTTTGAAAATTTGAAGAATGATAATGTTTCTTTGCAGTGACAAAAAATTCCAAACTACCATGGCAGAGAGCTGTTTAAAAATAGTAAAACTTAATTTTTAGTTTATTCAAACACTGTAATCAAATTACTATTGTCGTAATTTTGTTTCATACAATTCTTAACTGCCTTATCAATGATATCTAGGTTAAAACCCCTGTCTGCTGCTACATATTCCAACAATACTATTTCGTTATGTAATTCTTGATAAGAACACAATATAGGCATAGAAAGCTGATATGTTATATGACATAAATGATTGATGCCTTGATATCATAACAGAGAAATATTTTGTGTTCTCTAACTTTTGCAATTGTTTAAATATGTCTAAAGAAGGTAAACTGTCTTTTTTTTACTCCATTAGTACATGTAATGGAAATCTCTAAATTATTCAGATAATTAGAAAATTTTGTTAAAGCTTCCTTACCATATCACCATAACACAAAAGTATTATTAAATACTTAATCAGAATTTTTCGTCTCAAATTAATCTTATTTCAAGCATGACTTTCAAATTTATTTTTTTAAATCGCACAATAATGGTGATAATGGAGAACACACAACTAATTCTTTATTCTGTCTCTAATGTTTGTTATTAACCTGAAAGGAATGAAGATTCTACACAACATTTGAGTGGAATAATAATGTCTATAATTTCAAGTGGTGAAATTTTATTTTAGGTATTAATCATTTCAATTTTTCATAATAGGTTCACTTTTATTACGCTAGATGGCAGCACATTTTCTCTAATGTCAAATTGGAACTTTTATAGCACAAATAAAATATCTGCCGCTAAAATTCACGTCAAAACAAAATAAAGAAACATCTAAAGAAAAATTTATTGTACCAAAGAACTCGAGTCTTTAAACAATTGCCAAATCTTTGAATACTATATTAGTATCTAAGTTTATTTTATACCAATCTCTAAATCAAGAAAAAAATTATATAAATGTATTCTTATTACTGAGAACTTGAGCCATCCTGTTTCCAACACTGCTCCAGAGGTCGTTATTGCCTCTACCCCAGTTTCTTCCCTGCTG